AACAGAAGAGAAGGAAGGAAGGATGAAAGGAAGGGAGGAAAGAAGGGAAAGGAGAAGGAGGGGAGAAGGGAGGGTAAAGAAACAAGAAGAAGGGAAGGGAGGAAAAGAGATGGAAGGAAGGAAGGAAGGAAAGAAGGAAGGGAAAGGTACAAGGAAGGAAAGAAGGAAAAAAGGGAAAGATTAAGGAAGGAAGAACAGAAGTAAGGAAGAGAGGTACAGCTAAGAGATGGAAGGGAAGAGAGGAAGTAAGGAAAGTGATGAGGAGAACGATGAGGATAGAAGGGAAGGAAGAGAGGAAAGTTAGGGAAAGTAGAAAGAAAGGAGATGGGAGAGTAAAGAAACAAGAAGAAATGAAGCAAGGAAAAAGAGAAGGAATGAAAAGGGGAAAAATAAGGAAGGGAGAAAGGAAGGTACGGGAGGAAGGAAGATAGGGAAGAAATAGAGAAAGTAAGGAAAGGGGAAGGAACAAAGAGAATAGAAGAAAGGAAGGCAGAAAAGAAGGGGAGATATTAGGGTAAAGAAACAGGAAGAAAGGAAAACAGAAAGAAGGTAAAAGAGAAGGAAGAGAGAAATGAAGGAAGTAAGAAGGGAAGAATGAAAAAGAAGCAAGGAAGGAATGGTAAGAAAAGGAAGGAAGAAAGGAAAACAGAAGGAAGGGAAAGAGAAGAACGATAGAACAGGAGAAAATTAATGGAGCACAGTTGCTCTGTTTATCACGGTGTGGATTTAGCATCTGATTAATCTACAAGCTTCTGTGCTGAATTCCTCCGACTTCATGCTCATGGTTTCTCAATGGGTTTCATCACACAAACACACACACTACACACACACACGCACACACGCACATATACTGAAGTCACATTTTTGTCTGAAAGGGTGAACCGGTCGTGAAAAACAGACCTCAAATCTGAAGTGTGTTTATCTGGTTCTTGTGAACTTGTGACCGCCGCATCCCTCCATCAAACACTCCCTCACCCTTTCACTCCGGCTCAGATTCACTTTGTTGTCCCTGTTTCTTCAGTCTCTCTAAAGCCTCTCCTGTCTCTATCACGCTGCTGCACTCCATCCTGTTATTTATTATTCACTCCATCTGTCATTCTCCCTGTTACCCCTGTGTATACAGAGCTCTCTATCAGTGGTGGAGGAGGTATTCTTTTATCTATGTAAAAGTGCTAATACCACACTGTAAAAATACTCTGTTAAAAGCAAAAGTCCTGCAAAATGCTACTCAGGTTAAAGTATGCAAGTATAATCAAGAAAATGCACTTAGAACATTAAACATAAAAATCAATACAGAAAAATGTCCCCTGTGATTTTATATCATATCATTAGATTGTTATTATTTGTGCATTAATGTGATATCAGGATCTGACTGTCGAACCTTGATTCTTGGCCCTGCAGGTGATGGGCCCACAGGACGATGGCTCCATGTTGTTTTTTTCGGGCTTTTCCTCTTTGCCCGACCTGGCCCCATGGCCCAAGGCCCGGCCACCAGACACTCCTTGGCGAGCTCCCTCTAGGTCTGGCTCAAGAGGGGCGCCTTGGTGTCCCTATACCGGGCGAGGTGCTCGGAGTCCAAATAGTCAGTGTCATCAAGGTCTTCTTGAATTGCTCTTAGTCTCCCCTGGGACCAGGGTTGGAAGTCACTGCCTCAAGTGAGGGAGCTCAAGTATCTCAGGGTCTTGGTCAGGAGTTAAGGTAGAATGGAGCGTGAGATGAGTCGGCAGTTTGGTGCGGCTTCTGCAGTTAGCAGCATCGTTGTTTACTGGTCCGTCTACGTCCCAACCCTCACCTATGGTTATGAGCTCTGGGTAGTGACAGAAAGAATTAAGTTGCGGATACAAAGAGCTGAAATGAGTTTCCTTTGTGGGGTGGCTGGGCTGTAGAAATAGGATAAGGAGCTCGGACAGCTGGAGGGAGCTCGGAGTAGAGCCGCTGCTCCTTTACGTTGAAAGGAGTCAGTTGAATTGGTTTGGGCATCTGATCGGGATGCCTCCTGTGCGCCTCCTGTTAGAGGTGTTCTGGGCACGTCCCACTGGTAGGAGGCCCCGGGGGCAGACCCAGAACACGCTGGAGGGATTTCATATCTCATCTGGCCTGGGAAGCATTGCTGGGGAGAGGGATGTCTGGGGTGCTTTGCTTGGCCTGCTGCCCCCACAACCCAGCCCTGGATAGGCGGATGAAAATGGATGGATGAATTATGAGTTCATCTGCTAATAATTTTCTCCAGTTGAAAACAGTGGGAAATGTGGTCACCATTTTCCAGAGCCCAGAGTGATACAATGTTTTTTTTAGTCCAACCAACAGTCCAAACTTCAACATGAATACATTATAATTATTAAAATAATCAAAAAGGAAAAGCAGCAAATCTTCACATTTGAGAAGCTGGAACCATGAAAGGTTTTTGCTTGAAAAATGACTGAAATCAATTAATTAATTGATTAATCTGTAACTATAAAAACTATTGGGTAGTTCAATTTGTTACAAAACATATTTTCTCTGTATGCAAACATCTTAGTTTGTAAAGTGGCTAAAGCTGTAAAAAAAGTATTTCTCAGATTTTTTTACTTACAAAAGTACTAATGAAAGACATTACTGGTCTATTTTAAGTATCAGACATACTTTTTATGGCTTCTGTAGCATAAATAGCCTAAAATAAACTCCAGTTTTGATCATTTTGAAATAAAAACAGAATCATGTCCATGGGGAGGCTGGATCACATCGACATTCGGCTCAGCTCCAAGACATATAGTCCCCTAAACACTCTTACTGTAGCTGGAGCTCAGCCAGTCTAAGCATCTCCACTGCTTAGATAAATGTATCCACTCAAATCTTTATTGGAAGAACAACTTCTTTCTTTGTAGAAGTCACTTAAGACAACATTTGTTTTATACTGCAGGAAAAAGCCCAACTTCCAACTGTCCACTGGGGAATATTGAAAATGTTTTGCTGAACTAACAATAGGCCTGTTCTCTTTATTTGTCAGTGTGTTGCGTGGCAGCATTTTCACATGGGAGTGTGTGCGGTTCACTTTCTAGCTTTATTCAGTTCTTCAGCTGTATCTCACAGCCTTCTTCAGCCTATGGAACGTGCTCTGAGGTCAACAAGTGTCATTGGAAGTAATGTGCGGGAAAAAGCCCTGCTGTATGATCAAAATCTCTGAGTGAAAACTAAAAGAATCTTGGATATTTTACCATAGATGTGAACAATAACTTGTTATTGCTTTGTTCAATTAAAAAAAATGTAATTTTTTAATTAATTAAAAAATGAATGGATTCATGAATGAATAGAAAATAAAAGGATGAATAAAAACTGAAACAAATGAAGAGCAACATTAATACAGGAACATGCTATTTTCGGTCACTGCATGATCACCATATAGTTGGTTAAAGACTGTGTTCTTCTGAGGACATACACCGATCAGCCGCAGCACTAAAACCACTGACGGGTGAAGTAAATACCATCAGTCATCTCGTTACAATGCAGTGTTCTGCAGGGAAGCCTTGGGTCCTTGTTGTGCACCACCCACCCAAACACTACTGCAATCTGGTCAAGCGTCCATGGGATGTACCAGTACCCCAGATGTCCTGTGTCCATGCCCCCACAGGACAGAGCCAAGTCCAATCCATGGTGATGCCTCTGACCTGTTGAGACATGGACACAGGACCTCTGGAAGTGTCCTCTCTGGGACAGGGGCATTTGTGGCAGAGCCTTAGTGTCCTGTGGGGTGTGATGTGGGATATTGCCACTTCCCATGGATGCTTGATCGGATTGGGATCTGGGGAATTTGTAAGGCCACGTCGACACCCTAAGCACTAAGCACTAAGCACAAGTTCAGGTCATTGGAGGGAATTTATATAGTAAAATATGATTAGATTCTTCATCACTCCAAAAATAAAGCAATTTCAAGAAAGATCAGCCAAGAAGTGGACATTGTTTGAGGGAGTGTGGAAACTCTCAGGCAGATCATTTCCACATCTTCTGGGACTGCCCAACAATCCGGCCTTAGTAAGATAGTAACATAGTATGAATGATTAATTCAATAAGGGGTTTTGAGATTAAACATGATTTCTACACTATATATTTCAGGAATATCACTGCCACAACCAACTCTAGGGATAAGCCAGTCAAAAAGCTATAACAAGGAGATGGCGAACCAGAGAGCCCCAAACAAAAGAGGACTGGATTGTAATTGTAAAAGAAATATGTAACATGGAAAAGGATACTTTCTCCTTGAATCTATGTATGGACAAATGTATTAGTTACTAGTGGACATCTAGTCGGTGAAGATTCTCAGTCATCCAGGTCATGGTAATCATAAATGCTATATCGTAGGCAACTGGACTTGCTTGAGTTTCTTGAAGACGCTTCGCCTCTCATTTAGAGCTGAAGAAGCTTCTTGGATGAGAGGCGAAGCGTCTTCAAGAAACACTCACATGAATGCCAGGACCCAAGGTTTCCCTGTAGAACATTACACTTATGAGATGGTCAGTGTTATTCACCTTAGTTGTCAGTGGTTTTACTGCTGTGGCTGATTGGTGTTTGTAGCTAACATTTACCTTCATTAGAGGGTCATTCCAAGGATTTAGTATTACACTTGCAAAATCATAATCAAAGCCATCAGTCCATCTAATATCCTGACAAACTCCATGAACATTGGATCCAAAACTATAAGAAATAAAACACCTTAAATTAGCATTCATCGTTCATTGGACAGACAAAGATGGGTAAACTAAAGATACACAAATAAGAAAATAAGAATCAAAAACTGAATGAAAGGAATATTAACAAATGCAAGTAGAGACTCTGAGCTTCTGGTCAGCCTACATCACTGTAGTTTACATCCTGATGTCTTGTTAGAGAACAAGAGTACAGACTTGATGGTCGGTTGATAATGTTCACTGATTACAGCACAACAGATTTCCATTTCGTCTTTAAAACTATGGCTTGTGGTTCCATTTGAACCATTCTGATAATTGTTTCTCTCCTCCTCTCTGCAGGGGGACCACACGTGGGCGACCATGTTGGGTCAGAGTGTGCGGTTACAGCCTGTGCCGATCCAGAGCCTGTCAGAGCTGGAGCGAGCCAGGTTACAGGAAGTCGCCTTGTACCATCTGGAGGAGAGGGACCTGGACTTCAAGATTAGCATCCCGAAAGGTATGTTAAGTTCAGACAACAAATTTCAACACATATCAAGTCTTTTTGGTGCTCTTACATCCAGGATTTGAAAGACCAGTTCAACATTGTGGGACTTGTTTTCGCTGTCTTGCTAAGAGTTTGATGAAGTCAGAGCCTGGAGTTGATTAGCTTAGCATAAAAACTAGAAGCAGATGGAAACAGCTCACTCGGCTCTGTCTAAAGTAAAAAGCAAAACACCCACTGGCACCTCTAAAGCTCACTAATTAGCATGTTGCATTTTGTTCGCTTAATCCACACAAAAAACCCAATGTAAAAACATCAATTTGTGGTTTTACAAGGTTTATGTGCTGGTTCATTTAGAGCCATTTAAAACCACAAATTGTAGTTTCTGTATTTTGGTTTTTGTACGGATCAAACAAACAAGATTTAATGGGTTATTTAGTGAGTTTTTGAGGTTAAAGGAGGTGTGCTTTTGCTTTTAAACAGAGTCAGGTTAGCTGTTTTCTCTGTTTTCAGTCTTCATGCTAAGCTAAGCTAACCAGCTGGTGCCTGTAGCTGCACATTTAGCATACAGACATGAGAGTGGTATCAATCTTCTCATATAATTGTTGGAAAGAAAGAAAAATAAAATTTCTCAACATGTCAGCATTACTTCTTGAAGAGTTGGCAACCTTTCTCAATTCAAGAAACGTCTAAATCCACATTCGCCTTTGGTTGTTCAGTCGACTTTCTTGAAATCTTGTAGACATGTTTCAAGACGTCTTAGAAAGACAAATCAATTTTAGATTCTGCAATAATTGGCTCAAATGGCTCCTCACAGTGTGGAGGTATGACGCATGATAACTACAATGTTACGTTTCTTGATAAATGTGACCACTTTCAATGGTTTGTCCTGGTTGTGGAGAGGATCGTCAGCCTAGAGGTTGCACTAGGCTCGTAATGACGTGTGAAACCTAGCGCCAGTTTAGAAGATGTGACTGGTATGGTAATCAAGCCCACTCCCTATTAAAAGCTGAGGTTGAACTGTCCTCAAGGGAGCCATAACACACTGCTGGTGAATCTGAGGAATGAGTGTGAAGCAGGAGGACAGTGAGGATAAGCCTGTGTGCTTGGTCAACACTCTTTGGTCAAAGGCAACATTCTGTAGACATGTGTAAGCAATCAGAGTTGTTAGTTATGATAAGAAAGGGCAAAGGATGCTGCATGGTTTGTTTATCCTTCCGCGTGTCTCACTCGATGTCTCAAATACCACTGATAGGATTGGGAGTTCAGTTCAGGATAAAGGAAAAAAATATATACAGATATGGTGTCTAAGATATATGCAAACTGCTTAAAAACTAAAGAGAAATAGGAGAAAGGGCAGTTATAGAAAGCTACTTTCCTCTCTGCTATGGAGTGCAAGCAAATGCTGCTTTTAAGATGCTTAAAAAATTTGTTTTTCCGTTGAGGAACATTTAGAAATGGCTCCTCGTGCAGCCAGAAAGGACAGTCTCTGCTTGCTTTGGACAGACATTATCTCACAGGGGAACTCTTTGCTAAGAGCCAAAAGAAGGTTGTTTTTTCCTAGATAAATATGACATAGGCTCGTCCTTACTAATTTCCATTTTGAGGCCATTTTTCTTTTGTTCTTGTTATTAATGCCTCTGTGCCAGAGATAGCCGTGGCTGGAGGCAGTCTGTTTTCGGGTTTTCCATCAGTACATACTGTAATGGACTGGGTGACGTGATTTTAGCTGTATGGATTCTGTCACTGTTAAGAATGTGTTACGTTCAGCTGCAGTTATGGCAGTTACTGAGTTTTCCCACACTGTGAAGCCTGTCAGTCAATACTAGCACCTATGACAGTGGTCTGTGTGAGATACCTGTGATTGGCACAGGCTTGAGGAGGGAGGGTTGTTGTTGTTATTCCTGCTACGTCATGTGTGCATTTGTAAGCCGATGAGCTGGAGTTGTTGAAGTATCCGCTAATGCAGAGAACACCCTGTAAAACAGATAGGTTTGTTGTTTTGGCATTGGCTACGGCCCACAATAGCCTGTGTTAAAGTTCAGGAATAAAAGGTCAGCAAAAGGAGTTCATGCCTCATAGCCTTATTATTGGGGGCACTACAATACAATCATTCGTATGTACAGTACAGGCCAAAAGTTTGGACACACCTTCTCATTCAATGCGTTTTCTTTATTTTCATGACTATTTACATTGTAGATTCTCACTGAAGGCATCAAAACTATGAATGAACACATGTGTAGTTATGTACTTAACAAAAAAATGTGAAATAACTGAAAACATGTTTTATATTCTAGTTTCTTCAAAATAGCCACCCTTTACTCTGATTACTGCTTTGCACACTCTTGGCATTCTCTCCATGAGCTTCAAGAGGTAGTCACCTGAAATGGTTTTCCAACAGTCTTGAAGGAGTTCCCAGAGGTGTTTAGCACTTGTTGGCCCCTTTGCCTTCACTCTGCGGTCCAGCTCACCCCAAACCATCTTGATTGGGTTCAGGTCCGGTGACTGTGGAGGCCAGGTCATCTGCCGCAGCACTCCATCACTCTCCTTCTTGGTCAAATAGCCCTTACACAGCCTGGAGGTGTGTTTGGGGTCATTGTCCTGTTGAAAAATAAATGATCGTCCAACTAAACGCAAACCGGATGGGATGGCATGTCGCTGCAGGATGCTGTGGTAGCCATGCTGGTTCAGTGTGCCTTCAATTTTGAATAAATCCTCAACAGTGTCACCAGCAAAACACCCCCACACCATCACACCTCCTCCTCCATGCTTCACAGTGGGAACCAGGCATGTGGAATCCATCCTTTCACCTTTTCTGCGTCTCACAAAGACACAGCGGTTGGAACCAAAGATCTCAAATTTGGACTCATCAGACCAAAGCACAGATTTCCACTGGTCTAATGTCCATTCCTTGTGTTTCTTGGCCCAAACAAATCTCTTCTGCTTGTTGCCTCTCCTTAGCAGTGGTTTCCTAGCAGCTATTTGACCATGAAGGCCTGATTGGCGCAGTCTCCTCTTAACAGTTGTTCTAGAGATGGGTCTGCTGCTAGAACTCTGTGTGGCATTCATCTGGTCTCTGATCTGAGCTGCTGTTAACTTGCCATTTCTGAGGCTGGTGACTCGGATGAACTTATCCTCAGAAGCAGAGGTGACTCTTGGTCTTCCTTTCCTGGGTCGGTCCTCATATGTGCCAGTTTGGTTGTAGCGCTTGATGGTTTTTGCGACTCCACTTGGGGACACATTTAAAGTTTTTGCAATTTTCCGGACTGACTGACCTTCATTTCTTAAAGTAATGATGGCCACTTGTTTTTCTTTAGTTAGCTGATTGGTTCTTGCCATAATATGAATTTTAACAGTTGTCCAATAGGGCTGTCGGCTGTGTATTAACCTGACTTCTACACAACACAACTGATGGTCCCAACCCCATTGATAAAGCAAGAAATTCCACTAATTAACCCTGATAAGGCACACCTGTGAAGTGGAAACCATTTCAGGTGACTACCTCTTGAAGCTCATGGAGAGAATGCCAAGAGTGTGCAAAGCAGTAATCAGAGCAAAGGGTGGCTATTTTGAAGAAACTAGAATATAAAACATGTTTTCAGTTATTTCACCTTTTTTTGTTAAGTACATAACTTCACATGTGTTCATTCATAGTTTTGATGCCTTCAGTGAGAATCTACAATGTAAATAGTCATGAAAATAAAGAAAACGCATTGAATGAGAAGGTGTGTCCAAACTTTTGGCCTGTACTGTATGTCTAATTCTTGAGGACGCAAAATGTCGCGAACGCCTTAAGGGAATTTCTTCAAATTTGTCATAAATGGCCACTTGGACTCAATTTGAACTGATGAGATTTTGTTGGTCGTAGGTCAAAGGTCACTATGACCTATGACCCGTTTTTTGGCCAAATCTTTAAAAAAAACAATCATCATATTTAACGTCATATCTCATGAACAGAAGGGGCAACATTTGGTCATATGCTGAATTGGTGACGCTAGTCTTGGAAGTGACGTCAACTAAAAAGCTTTTCCAGATCTTTAAACCACATCTCATGGTCTGCCTGAGCAGATGACATTTGATCACTTGTCACAGAGATCGGTCGTGCATACTTAAGTCACGTCACGAAAATGAATATCTCTGGCAACTAAGCAAACTCCATCTGCAGAGGAACACTGTAAGATGCGACTGAAAGCCCCAGAAAGTCAAGTGAGTGGCCTTTAAGATTTTTTTATGTCTCCACTCTGGCAATAGCAGTGGCTCAAGGCGTTGTAATATATATATCATGGGTTCATCCCAATACCGAATCTTGCATCCACGTTTCCCTTAGCCTGGAAATCCAGACTCAAATCTAGACAGATTTTGAGTCTGGCCCTCACCCATACACCCTTCCTACCCAAGGGGCGGCACTAACTGAGGCATTTCAAATGCCGCCGTATGCAGTTGGATAGCACGATGGCCAATCAGAGCAAAACACAAGGTGACGTATTCAGTGCAGTAAGCCCATTGGTTTGCTGACCAGTGGGGCTAACTGATATATTATGCTTTTGTTGTATCCCATCGGCAAAACCGCAAAAATGTCCTTCCTGGAAGTGAAGGCTTCTAGGGCAGTCTTCTGTTCCTCTCTCAAGGAAAAAGATAAGTGTAGTTGGCTTAGCGTTTCTTCCAAAGCTAAATTGAATGGACACGGTCCTTCGGCAGCTGCCATCTTGGCTGTTTACTTTTAGACTCTTACGGGGGTCGGGGCATCTGGATTTCCAGGTTACGTTTCCCTCACTTGCGTCTCTTCCTTGCTTCTTAGCTCCACCCTCGTAATAAACAGGGGAGAGATGCGAGGATGAGACATGAGGGGAGAAGAAACAAGGAAAAATGTCTTAAGAGAAATGAGATGTCTTTTCCTTTAAAGCGTCACATGAAGCGACGCCCATTTCTGACGCCAGCAGTTGATCACAGTTGGATCAGCTGTCAGGAGGCTTTATTTACAGCTACAGAAAGTTTTAATTGAGTTTGTGCCACAT